GCCATAACAACAAGTGATTGCTAGTTTCCGCTGTAGCTTGTTAAAGCAGAATGCCTGAGTTCATCCTCTATTCGTTCTTTCTGCTCGTTGGTGTTGTCCATGCAGGGGCAAATCGCAATATTACTGCGAAAGATCCAATAAAGTCATCACTGTTGTTATTATCAGTCCGAATATAAATCAGAGATGTTATCATCAGCGCCAGCTTGCTATACGGTTAGCAACGCTTTGACATGGGCAAGAGTATTCGATAGCTCGAGATGAACTACGCTACCGTATTGCTAGCGTCTATCAATAAGCTGTACCTCCAAAATAAGCTTCAGGCTCCCCACGCAGCTGGCGCAGAACTGAAGGGCGAATAATACGGAGAAACAGATGAGGGCTAAAAAATGAAGAGAAGGGGATCAAAGCATCTGACGAGCGATACATGTTCCACGCGTTATAAACGTTTTCAAGCTGCCGCCCCTGCTCGAAGGGAAACTCTGTTCGCTCGGATTGCGAATAGAGTTTCTCTTCTCCTAATAATACGCGTTCCTGCAGGTAAAACCTGGCAGCCTGCCTGACCGACGCTTCTGCTACTCTTAGCAAGATATGGGTGATACTTTAAGACAACATGGATAGCCCCCTCTTCGAGAAAGTAAGCTTGCTAGTATCTTAATTAATAGGCGTGCCGACACCAGCCGTCAAGTTGTAGAAACTTTCTTCGGTGTAAATAGTTCCAATATGATGTATTCAACGTACGCGTTTAAATATGATAGTTGTACCGTTTAGTAGTACCAATTTCAATCGTTTGCACTCGTTGGTTCGATCGGCAAAATGAACATTAGTAGAACTAGCGATTTAATGTTTGTCAGTATCGTTTCTTAGCTTTGAAAATATTGAAGTTAATCATTGCGAGAATATAATGTGACTGCATTCAGTGGCTAGCTCAGGCACGCTAGGCAAGAGACTTGAAGACAGACTCCTTTACGATATCTGGTTCGTCTACGATGATCTGATAACGCGTTTCGGGAACATTCGCAATTGCAATGACTTCGAAAGCTTATGCTAAAAAGATAACAGACATCAACAAGTCTAACTTCCCATAAAAAAAAAGAATGGCCAAGCTTGATTCGGTACGCGCCGCCACATCGGACTCTAAAAAAAATTGATGTTTTTATAAAGTAAGTTTAAAAACTCAGTCTATATATAAGCAAAATAACTCCGTAGTTTCTCACGTCCTTGATTTTAGCCAACGTATTACTGAGATGAGCATTTTATCGTGATGATCGGAGTTTAAGATATCGTAAGACCTACCATTTGTTAGCGCTCCATTAGGCGTATCATACGATGCTCGTAAGCGACCTTGACGATTCGGTCAAAACAATATCTTACTTACTTGCTGGCTATGATGTCGAAAGCCGCTGCCGTTATACTCTGCACTTTATCGCGATAGTCTCAACGACTGTCACGTAGCGTTCTCTCATCGACGAGGCACTTCCCCCGCTGTGAGGTCGCACATCAGCCGAGCTTAGTTAATGCCCGTCCTGTTATCAGCAGCTCATCGTTACAATAAGCTTCAGTAATCTCCTCAGTGTAGGGATGGTAAGAACAGCTGGCTGTTGTATTCTTACGCATGATCAAACGATATGCCATTACTTGAACAACCTACCAAGGCCAGTTAAGTAACCATCATAAATTAAACATGATCATTCACATATATAGTAACTATTAACAAGCTGCTTCACAGATGAAGTAGTGGTGTCAACAATAATTAGAAGGCAAATTAGACTGCACGCAAAACTGTATGAGGTAAAAAACAAACCCTATAGAGTCCTTAGATTGAGGACGAAGCATTTGGAGACTACAGAAGTCTGCTCTACTGGAACGGGCATCATGTTCCATGGACAGTGTCAACAAAACAATCGAATGGCTATCTGGGGGTGTGGGGGGTATCCCCCCCCTGAGCTATGCACGCATGTCATCACACAGGAAAGATTATGAGGAAAAGATTAATGGAAAAACACTTACTTAGGTTTGCATTGTGTAGTAAAAGGAACCTTGAAAATAGCCATTTTTTCCTTTTATTGTTGTCAAATCGATCTGCAATGCAAGTTAAGGCAGCGTCGAACGGTAAAAGTGTTGCTAGGTTGATAAACTCTCTTTAGAAAAGATCGTTTCACACATTGTTTCTAATGGAAAACTAGCCGAGTCGCAGGCGATATACGAAGGACTGCTCGATAGATTTCGAAGGAAGTAAGCGATCATAGACGGCTGGGGATCACCAAGACCAGTTCTTTTTCTACTGAAGCGTCCGTAGATGATAAACGGTACGGATTAAATAAATTAATAATATGGTGCACAATATCGATATCATTTATGATAGAGGGAAGGTAATGGAATTCTAATCTATAGCTTCTTTGCATTATATTAGTACCATATAACGTACCTAGTGATTTTTATAATGCATTCATTTTCATAACCAGTCACGTTTGATTAAGCACAACAAGCTCTCCATTCGGGCAGGAGGACAGTACTTACTTCATTATATATATTCAAAAGACTTTTCCTCATCCCGAGTTGTGGAAAATTCATTGTAAAGCGTCCACACACCTACGTTCGCTAAGACTTCACAACGCATCGTTGAATGGAAAAAAGCTTTTTCCATTCCCAGATGCGTCGCATAGTACGATACATAGAGTACTTCACACTAACATTAAAGTTCTCTTACCTCTATTGTAACACGCCCTTTGTAGTGTTTCTAACCCTTCTGTCCGTATCGGCTTCAATCGTTTGATATGGCATTTATTAAAATACAGTTTATAATCGTTCGAAGCTTACGTGACGGCAATTTATGCAGCGTCTTCGACTGGGTCTGATACATAGGGTAACCTCTGTAGAACGTGTACCAGGTGGTAAATTCACGAAGTCCAATATTTGTTTACATAATTTATAAACTTGCAGACGCGTCACCACGCGAATTGTGTTTTTTACATTTAGACTGACAGCGCAAGTACCGTGAATAACGTTAACAACCAAAAGGTTCTTTTGAGTTCACTGTTTCACAGTGAAATACGTACTTACGTAATTTTTAAAAAAATTGACGCAATTATTGTGTCGTCCCCGCGACACTCTAGCGTCAAGTAGCTTGAAGCTATTTGTACGCAGCGAAAGTCACGGCAGAAGACTACGCTTGCTCTTCGTTTACTAACATCACTACTTCGCCGGTTTTTTCCACTGGAGTGGCCAGGGCCGGCTCGAGGAAAGGAGTTATTCTTTCACTATCTCGCTCCTTCTGCCGCGTCTATGATTAGGCAATAATGGGTTTGGAGGATTCAAAATGGTAAAGCGCACTCAGACACAGCTCGCGTTGCTTCGACGCATGGGACTGAGATAAATTAGAAATATGGCCCCTTATTGGTTATAAGCAAATATCGCAATGCGTAATACAATAAACTCGATCGTGTAGCATCAATCAGTCGGAGACCTGAAGCAATACTTCCGCCTCTTTTTGCCACGCATGGCTTCGTATCTAGATTCAGTCTCGACTTCTCCATTCGGTTGACGGCTCACGACGGACGTTTTGGGACGACAAACTTTAGACTGTAAGAGGAGTTATTATTACGTTCAAAAGACGCGCAGGAAATAAGTGACGGCTGCAACTTGATCAGAGAGCGCGCACAATGTCGTATGCGACATCTGTTCTACCAGTACGAACACAATGCGTTCGTTTATGTTTTCGGATACTAATAACCGGTTTACTGTTGTCTCCCTGATCTGACATTGGTTTCTGAGGGCAAGCCTATGAACATTTGAATGCTCGAAATGTCACAGCAAGGGCAAATTTCAAAGTGAAGCAAAATTACATTTAATTTTCTATAATCGTATGTGTAGAAACAATGGCTGGGATTTTTTTTTTTTTTGATGCGCTACTTTTATGTCCCACGTCAACTTTGATAACGAATATGAGGCTGTAGATTTCTATACCGCAGCAAGGTTGAAAGGGGTTCCAATTCGTATTTTCTATTGATTTTTAGTCAGCAACAGTGGAAAAAATGGCGCGCGTGCGCCAGTTTCTTGAAATTAGCTCTTAAACAAATTACAGCTATAGATGTACACTGAAGAGACCAGACAAAGCAAAATCTTCAAAGCTAATTCTTGATAGGAGTCTCAGGCGGAATGACTGCAACCGTCGGTTTCTGGAATATCGTCAGCTAAAAATCTAGGCCAATACAAAAGTTTTTCTCGGTGGCCGAATAGTACCTATTCTCGAAAAGCTATTCGATAGAAATATGTTAGTGTTATCGTGCTGACTTCATAAGACAAATTTCAAATGCTATCGTCAGTAGGCGATGATGCATTGCACTCGACTCGTTGCTTCTCGAGGAGAAAACGTTTCGCTTAACTGAGCTTTTTTCATTTTAATTGCTAGAGCATGGACAGGCCGCTCATACTATAGACCGCAAGCTAACTGATGATGACGATGAACGTAGTGTCGTTTAATTTACTTTAAATTTAAAAAAATCTTTAATTGTGTTTGTTTTCGAGGCTGACTTTCGTCGGCAGGTGTTCTCCTTTGCCATATTAAGCTTACTTCCAATTTCGATCGATAGGCTTTAATTATATAGATATATGAACTTCACCTAATAGTTTTCGAAGTGTACATGTACCATGACAATTCGCAGTAGCGGTATGTATACATACAACAGTGACAGTTGTTCCCGTATGGTGTCGGCAGCTATTATTGCATGTAAATTCTCGCTACAAGTGGAACTCCTACAAGCTTCGATCGCTCGTGTGTAACTAATCAAACATGTCCAATTCGGTGAAGCCGATCTTTATCAGAGCTACCTAATCCTGCTCATATTATGGGTCGAGCTGATTTACCTTTGATTAAAGGCCTTAGCATACGGCGATTTGAAAGTTGATCCGAAGGCTTCGTATCAGCTCCCTGCTGTCCTTACCTAATAATCTATATGGTCGCGAAGTGTGAAAAACAGCGTGGAACGTAAACATCTACGTACCGTATGAACCTCCACTACGCGTGCTTGAGGGACCCCTTTCGACCGAATGCGTCGACGAGTTGCCAGAATTGTTGCTCGAGCTTTGGCCGGCTGACGGAGACAATGGCAATTCAGGAGCCGGTGGGACAAGTTCATCTTCTTCACTTTTTTCTATCTTCTGGGTTTTCTCTAGAGGAGCACCCTCTGCTATTCGGCCCGACACCAAATTCACCTCATGAAGTTCTTCAAAAACCGGAAGTCCGATAATGTACCACAGGTTAAAGGATTCTGGCACAATGCATGATATGCTCATATATCCCAACACTCAGACAATGTTATACTTTAGTGCCTTCGACAAATGGACAAGCAAATATACAAGCGGTGCCCCTAAGTGCGTGTCGAAGTCGAAAATTATTCTTAACTTTATATTCATTATATATTGACTGAGGGTTATTAATACTATTGTTATTATGAAAGATAGTAGCAGTAGTACTTAATATCAATTACTACTGCTATTGTATTTTACAAAGTATCGTGCACATAACAATAATAAATTCACTATTGCTCAATAGTATCCCACCTACCGGACAAAACTGTATCGGGTGGTGGCAGATGTATGGGGTCCTGAGGTGCGGCCCCTGTTATTTCGTCGTCGAATTCATCCACTTCTTTCATTGGCTCAGCCTCATTAGACGTTTCATCTATCGCCCTTCTCTGTTCATCATGTTGAGTGACGTTGGCCAAAATACCTGACACTGGAACACTGTTACGTGCTGTATTTGAGAAGCCTCATCGTTGTTGACGATGCAGACGGAGCCGCAACGAGATGCAAGAAAAGTAACAGCACGTGACAATGAACATTTTGTGCTTTATTATTGTTCGGAAAAAGCATACGTTGCGAAATAGGAAATGAAGACAGAACGATCACTGTAAGTTGTGAGCAAAAGCAGGCTTATTACAGTGGCAAAAAACGTCGACAGCTATAAAAACAATAGGCCTTTAGTTACAAAGGTTTCCAGTTGACGCGTGTCGTGGTTGAGCCGAAAGTCTCCTTTCTTTCTAGCTGTGGACCTACAAATAACGCTTCTGAACTCGAAGTCTGCTTTTAGCCAACGTTTACCTAGCTAAATACGTACGGATAAAAAAACTGTAACTTAAAAATATGTGCATTAGTTGAAGTCTATTTGACTTGAATTTACTATTGATTATTAATAGTTGCACATATTCCTTTTTTTTTCATTTCATCGTCCATTATACATGTTATACGTGTCGAGTTTTAAGCTCTTTGTAACTCTAATATATATTTGTACACGCGAGGCTGCCGTAAACAGAATAAGCCATTATGAGTTAAAGAAAGTATAATAGACCAACTTTACTCGCTGCCGAAATTGATCTACAACAATAGCTTATCTAAATGTGTCCTTTTAGCGCAGGAACTTAGAAAATTTTACATCCAGTTTTCTTTTCAACAACGGAACTTCAAGTAATTCATTTCTAAATTTACGTTTCCAGTATAAGTAGTCTTTGAAACGAAACAGACATCTCCAGCGCTACCAAAACTGTGAACGATGCACGGCTACAAGGCCAAGTACGTGCATTTCATAGCTTTGTCCTACGAATGCTAAGGGTCGAAAGCTGTGAAATGCTCCCGGCCGAGAGTCTGCTAAGAAAAACCTATGTGAGATCAATGCTAATCTCTCAATCGCAGCGAGCTGCTCTAGTCATTTTGTGGATGATGGGGGCGGTAACGTGTTTATTTCGGTTAATGAGCATACGCTTTCTGTGGGTCCGGCGCGTTGTTGCTATATACATTCAATTGCAATACAATTAAAGGCGTGTGACTTAATACAACTGTTAGCCATTTACTCTCTATGAACGGTATAATGAGTTTGCTCGAATCGCCGGGCACAGGCAGCTATTTGTATTCACTGCAAAACAACTCCCCAGCGAAAGGGTGCATGGACTTTGCGTTTATGTCGGACGACAGCAAGCTATACCTTCATATTAGTAGAATACGTACCGCTGAGAATACCTAACGGAAAAAAAACTAATGCGTTACTGTGCGAATAGGAAAAGAATAATATATGTGGTCTCGGGTCCACACATCGTCTACGAGTCCCATGCCTAGATACAACGCATACGACCGGACCGCCCGTAATCCTAGCTCTTGCACAACAAAGACTCCCGTAGGGGGGCGATTCCTAATAAAAACTATGCCTTGGCATATCTCATGGTCACGACTATCTCTTGATACCTTTCGTTTAGGCAACAGTTTTCGTTCAATAAAAGCACTTACTGTCATAATGTACTGCTCACCGACACTGCTAACTTATCCATATTGTCGTAGCAATGCAATTGACGGTTAATATTGATCGGGCACTACGCCCTGCCACTGTGGTAAGATGCAAATGCGGAACAGCGACAACGGAAGGCAGTAAAGTAAGGAAAAAATTGTTTCAACGATGACTTTTATCCTGCTAAGCCACAACTATTCTTATATTATCCGCTGGCAATTGTGTGCTAAAGTGTCGAAGTGAGGTAAACTGCGGCCCAGCGCTGGACCACAACGATCGGCGACATGGCTCTACGGTGCGCTACTATCGAAAAATTAATTATATTTGTACTTACAATAGTAAACGAAATCATTCTCCTAACGCCACGCATCGTTCGGGTAAAGTTCTGTTTGTTTTAAGGACCAAAAAAAAAATATTACAAATGTCTGCCCTAGCAAACCTTTATTTGTGCTGTTGTGAAGATAATATTTTGTCCGAGATACAGTAATAACGCGTCACTTGTTCAGCCAGGACATCATCTTATAACTTACCATCGTTCGCTGGGGAATCCGTCCTCTGAGGAAATCGTATAACGAGAGCCTTGTTCTTAAAAATCCGGTCAATCGCTAAGGACTCGTTCTTGACGTCGAGGTTTGTCCGGTCATTGTAAAAATAGAATGACTGGCCCTTGGCTAACTGACTTAAAGCCGGCCTTAACTCGTTCAGTGGAATTCCTGTCGAAATCAAAACAGGTTATAAAAACATCCTAATATTAAATCACATGTCGGTAATCAAGCGTGAACCGATTGGTAAGACTAATTATTCCAATACCGCTCTCAGAAAGTATAATAAGGCGGCCGCCGTAAGATTTAGTATGGCTGTATTCTTAGAACGACGACAATTACACATCGAGGAAACGGAAAGCTCCGGGACTGTCGCAAATATTTACGAACTAAGCTTGACAGAAGACAAGTTTGTCTTTCTTTTTAAAAGTCCTCTATTACGACACAGGCCAATCAACATTTTCAAAGTTCTCGGCCTCGAAATCGTCTCAATGTTATGAACATTACTAAACACGAAATCAGAGAGAGATACATTCGTCTTTCGAAATGTCTGAAATCTATCGATCGGCAAGTGTTTATCGCCCATGAGGATGACACCATTACAATTTCCTTAGACTTCGAGCCGTCCTGTAAGGGTTTCACACAATCATTGAAGTGTCCGAAATTTATTTGCTGAGCTTAAGCAACAACCGTTGAAGCGTTGAACAACTACAACGAATGACGATACTCGTATACATTAAACGAGTCTCCCTAGTTTTAATTCCTAATTCATTTTTAAAAATCCACTAGAAAACTGTGCCCCTAAAAATCCGAACTGGGGCATGTCGGCATTTCTGGTTTTAATGTGTAAGGATATGTAAATCCACAACACTCACCCGCTAGCCTTAAACAACAACAACCATTAAGGAAAAAGAACGATATTTTTAATTGGAACATTTTACTCAACAGCTTGTGAAGAAGCTGCCATACATTTTCTTACCAAAAAAAAACTATCTACTTGGATTAAAAATCGCAGACCAAATAATCCTGGTAGTTTTGCCTTGGAAGTGTAAACCAAGGTAGCTAACTAATTTAGTACATTTTTACCAGCACAGAAAGGAAGATCTCGTCTTGTCTCGAATTGGTATGGACGAAAAAGCCGTGCCAATCGTGAATGAATCATGATGGCAAGGATCGACGATGAGGAGGTCAAGCGGAAAACAAAATTAGCGCCATACGTAGAATCTCAATTGAATTATTGCAAGCGGATAAAAACAACTGACCTCGAAAATTTTGTTACTCTAACAGATAGCATAATTTTTTAACGGATATTCTTGATTATATTACAGGATTTGTTCGCGTCTATTTGTCAAAGAACGAGGAAGCCACCTTGCAAGCTCGTAAATATTTCATTTTTGTCTCTATCTATCCTTCGATTGGGGATTTCTACTCGGTACTCATCTGTGACCAGTGTTTGAGCTTCTGGCAGAGTTCCAACACTTACACTACACTGTGCCTACGTTTTTCCGACGTGCCCTGTATGTACCAATAGTGAAATAAGTTAATTCTCTGGAACGTGCAAATAAATGCACAGAACTCTCCTTCGATAAATCGAATTTTGCATACAATGACCCATACTATACCATATATATACTATGCTACTTGCTAAACAACGGAAGTTCGTATCTCTACCGTATCAATAACACCGAAACAATCACTGTTCCAGCGTATTTTACGCTATAAGAATAAAAGCTTCGTCATGCACTCCCTCACCACCTCAAAGTGTCTGGTCGCCAAATACGAATCCGCCTGCAACAGTCAGGTTACAAGGTAAGTGGTACGCCATTGTTGCCAATATATCATCAGTAATCGATATTCGAACAACACACACTTTTCGGTCGGACAATTTCGTAAGATAGTTTTATCTATTCAGCAAAAGAAACGGTGACTCCGTTTGATATTTTTCAATCAATGTTTTGCACTACGATTGGTACCGTCTTCAAACATGTAGTTAGGATACGTTTTAGCTGATCAATCCGATAAAGCGAAATGCACGAATTTGGAGAACACTCTGATCATGCCAGCTTCTCAGACATATAATAGTGAGAACAAGTACGATCGCATCTGTCCAAGGATGAAACCACTGTAAGATTAACATGGGAGTAGTAATGGATAAAAGCTCTGCTTTATTCAGTATATCCATTACCGAAAGGTGCGTGCCCCTGCTCAAATAAACGATGTCTCTTTTCGACCAAATGAACAATGAATACAATTACTTTCCCCCTTTTTTGCTACGTCAATGCTTTCTAATTCTTTTATATAAGCAAAATGATATAATCAAAGGAACTATTCACAAATACGAAAGCAAGTATAGAAAGATGTTCAAAAAGAGCATTACCCTAATAACGAATCTGCGACAGCTCTTACTTCGTTAACAGGCATCAATCTATCAACTGTATTTAGTGTATTAAGATTTCCAAGTTTCTTTTTCGACACCCTCATACAGAACTATACTATTCGTTACGACGTGTTTGATCCAAGCAATAAAATCTATAGAACAGTGAGCAAACTGAGATACCCTATATAACGACATTGAAACAAAAGTATAAAGTACGAGTAAGGTTTCTATCCCACGGGTTGGAAGCATAAAGCTAGGAAGCTAGCAGATTGAGCGCTACAGCTACAGCGGACGTAGGTCTAGTTTCGCATCGTAACCGGATTCACGACGGAGCTACGGTGCGCAAGATTTCTAGATATCTAGCCATACCGTTCAAAAAACCCCTGGGGATGCTGTATCTCTGGATGGTGTGACAGGCATGAGCAGATAGGGTCTGCCGTAAAGAGGTGCCGTCTAGGCGCAAAACAGTCACAACACGAGATGTAAGCTTACAGACGAAAACGGTTTGGAGAATAGATTGTTTCACTATTAGAGATAAATCTGATAAATTTAAAAAAGGAAAAGAGAGAAACGAGTGAATGTTATGTTGCGCTACTTCTGAATGCCAGTACGTGCCATTGGTGAGGTGGTGGCCCTGCGCTGGTTCGAAAAAACTCAATGAGATATAGCCTTGTTATAGGAAAAAAATTTTTCCTTCTAAAGCCTAGAAGCCTGACCCGTGTAGTCAATATGTTCGTTGGCGGTGTTCGTCGGATGTCTCAACATTAGATACTAATTGCATGCACTGCTGTTATATAGTCATGTGATCATAAGGTATGGCTGATTTAGTTTATCACTTTTTTAGCTTACGCCCGAATGAATCCAGCTTTGTTGCGATCCCTTGACGACATATCTGTTTTACAAGCTCTTCTAATACGACTGCAGTCCAACGACCGCCAAACCCCAATCGATTAAGAAGCATCCTCGTATCATTAAGTAACTGGGTAAAAACATGCAACTTGTGCAACTGACGGTACAGCTCGGGGCTTCTCTGCATTGCACTCTAATCCGGTCTAAACGGTGCGGTTCTCAACAGATCTGTTGGCCTATTCAGTTATCTTTGTATCATTATGATTAACTTGAGATATATTGACATGTACTGAAGATCTGATTTGTAAGTACTTCAGAAGCGATTAAACTAAGTATGGTATATAATTGTTATGTGCAGCCGCTGATCGTCTATGGATTTTATCTCTGTAGTTCTGCAGGTTAGTATAGGCCTTAAATCGGTAAGTCGACGGTAGCAGGAAACGTAACGACATATACAAATAAGACAGGCACAGCGGTTAAGAAGCACCGCAACTGAAACGAGGATATATCATCCACTGTGATGAAATAAGTAAAAAAAAATAAAAGAAAAACTTGTGTTAATTCTTCGAGCATAGTTTCTGCTCCAAGGTAACGATGTGTATTAAAGAAACATAGCCTAATAGTGCACCCTGAATCACTAATACTACTAGCAACAAATCTCCTTCTCGACACCTCGCGGAAACTATTAAGCATCTATGGTTTCGCATCCGAGTTATCGAGTGGTCTCCATATTTCGATTGGACAGACCACAATTTATGCGTACACTTTGATGCCTCTAAAAATACAAGAAAGAATTATCTGTCAAATATAAATAATCGGTGAACTCACGCTCCTGATATTTATACATAGAAGACGGTAGTATTCTACCCGATACCATCTTTGTTAGTAATTAAAATAATTATTATTTTTTAGGGCAGATGGAATCTGTTGACGGCACCAATCTACGGGTCTAAACAAGTGCGTACATCGTTTAACAAGTCACAATTTCTTAATAGTTCACAGTACCGTACTACTAAGCAGATAAAATTTACGCTTGTATCAGAATATCCACAGACCACGTTCTGGACGACGTCAACAAGTTCTACGTTAAAAAAACATCATAGGAAATTTTTGCAACAATTACGTTGTAACTTAGCGTCAACAAATCTATCGACGACGATGGAATCGAAAAATTACATTCTAACAGCACGATCCAGATCAATGAAATTGGCCAGTCCTGTGTGACGGCTACTTGAAAAAAATGCGGACAGGAAAAAAGATCCTTTTAAACATGTGGGTTTGACATAGAGGTTCCAAATAGGATTTTGCCCACGGCAAACAACTGACGACTACTGAAATGTTTAAAAACCGAAACTGAGCAAAGATGCACCTCAGTGACAAACGTTGACGTCTGTCAGTCGATACTCTACCGTTATAAGTAATGTCTTATCTAGAACAATAATCATTTCGAACATCTGCAGCAGAATGTTTAATGCTAATGATCTAAATAAAACATACGTTTTATTTCATTCATTGCAGTCTAAATATCCATTATAGGGACCGAATACGATAAAAACCGAAGTTAGAGTTCCTTTAGAAGATTAGTTTAAACGTGTTGTGCGCCAAGTGAAACCGGCCAAGCCTGAATCGTAATATATCATTGCGCTATAATATTTTCGGCAATTTTATAGAAAAACTTACTAGATCCCAAAATCAAGTAAACGTAGACAAGTACATCCGTTCTGTCACTGCCGAAAAAAATTTCCATTGTCTTTTGCTCTTCATAAAAGCAGTATTGTATACGTTTAAGGTTCGAGTATTTAGAATGAGAAAGACGGATAGAAAAGTACCATTCGGATAAACCAAAACGTTTAGCGAAGACCAGGCGGTAACTGTTCGGATTTGAAGGACAGTTTATTTTTTTTTACTAGCCCTTCTCAGATCAACTTTAAAGCGGTCCTAGTGCCATTAACATAAATCTTTATTGGAACACTGGAAAATCACCAGCACCCAATAGTACAAAAGTTGAAAAGCTATCTGTCATTCGCTCCTATTATCTCTTATAGCTGCCTCTAGTGTTACTTATTTCCGTGATAGTGCCGTGGGGACCTGTTTTCCTACTATGTTCCCTACTATGACACATAGCAATGTCGGTTCGAATCATGGCATAGGCATATTTAGTTTCGCACTGGAAAGAGCCACCCGATTGAAATGATGTCTAACGACTTATATAGCGGACGGACACACACACAAAAAATTTAGTGTTAAACTAGAAACAGAAACACCTACCTCTGACTGTCGTTAGCGTCCCGATGACATTTCGCTGACCTGGCGACCGTTGCTCATATATAGTGTACTTAAGCATTTCTTCACCGTCTTCGGCCAGCAAAAATGGTGGGGAATTCGGTTCTCCTGTAAGGATGTGATTTGGAGCGTCACGTCCACCATCAAGGATCAGCGGCGCTTCGGTCATCTCTGGCTCGAACCCAGACCTGAAGCGGGCCAAATCAGATTCAGTCATTTCATTGGAATATCCACCGTCCGAATATGAACTTTCCCGGTACAGAGGCCTATCGGCGTACTGGACGCTTGTACCGCCACCGGCACCGTTAATATAGTAATGATCCGGATAGCGGACTTTCCCGCGGTTCCCACTGGCGACGAACCCATTTGCATGTCCGTTTGCATAGCCCTGGCCGCCGCGGTATCCGTAGCCGTGTGGCGGACTCGGGCTTCGCGAGGTTGTCACTCCTATTTTGAATGGTTAGCTGAAGCCCGTTCACAAATCAATGTTTTATATAACTACCTTATGATTGTTACAGTGTTCACATACCTTGAATAGCTTTGCCTACACTCAATCTGTCCCTATTCTCGTTTTAGCCGGTAGGACAATTATGGCAGCACAAACTGTTGCTACCAGTTTCCCTTCTTAGTTACAGACTTTACCACTACCATCTTCAGGTCGTTCCTTTTTCCCGCAGCGTGAACCTGGTCATAAACAAACCGTTCAAAAAAAACTTCACTACACTTTTTTGTATGTAACGAAAACAATGATAACAATTGTCGTCTCCCACGGGGTGTTGCCCATTCGCACACGCTAAAATCTTTTCAGTGATTTTTCTTTGTTTTCTATTTTGTCTGTTCCTCAATTTTTTCCGTCCTGCCGCGTACACACACTAAAGGCCACAAACGCACTGCAATAGAGCTATGCTCTTCGGGTTTTACGCTTAGCAAACTTAGATAGTTGACCTCTGTTTCCGTTGTTAAGATAACAGCCAACGGATACTAACGCTGATAAGTTCACGACGAAGGCAAAAGTCATTGATCAAATATAGTAGCAGCCAGCCATTTTGCCTGTTGTTGCTACGCTGTTTCCGCGACGTCGTGATACTCATTTGCGTTGGACGGAGACGTTCACTCACTATTAATACGTGCTGCCTATCGAGGATGAAGTCGTTTCTGGGGAGAAGGTGCTTGTCCCTTTGCCATCGATAGGGGAGCAATAAGAAGCTTTGGCAGAAATAATAGTTGTAACAGTCAGCTTTTCCGTCGTCCTTGTGTTGGTGTTTCGAAGTGGGGGCAGGCCGACTTTCCCGAAGCAGCCTCCGCCGTCGTCGTGAGAGGACCAAAGCAGTAAGACAGCAGATAGCTTGCCAATAATCGCCGAGGTCCCTTACTCTGTCCTAATGACTTTGACTATTGAACGGTGCTGCCTCGACTTGTTCCGCCAAGGCGACGCTATCTCGTTAAGGAGGCCGACATCTGGCACTGTTTTATGATACGTGAACGGAGCCGAGAATGCTGATTCTGTTGGTGATGATAGTGACTTAGTTGTCGACTAGAGGCAAAAACGAGGCCCACAACAAGGACGACGGCAACTTCTCAACCTAGTTACAATACAGGCCAAACAAATTAGCTCGGTATTCACAGAATCTAGAAAGACCTGGATGAGTGGCAAATACGGCGATGCTCACGACAGATCGTTCAAACTGATACGGTCATACCCTACAGGTAAAGAATCAGCAAGACCTGCGAGCTTCTGCTAAGCTCTGTTTGAAACGTGCCCATCAGCAGGCCTCACTACTGTTGGAGTACGAATGGAGGAGGAGTCGAAGTATGAGGCAATACTGTTCAAAAGACGAATAACGACGGGGGGGGGGGGGGAGGTGTAAGACGACTAAAGCAAGAAAGTAATCTTCTCCCGGCTCAGATTCCAAAATTCATGCCATGTAAAGTTTAACAGCTCATCTCGCATGCTACTGCTTACTGCTAGTTGCTCTGGGTTGCGTCCATCGTGACCCCCGTAGCAGGTTGTAGCCTATTGTCCACAAATCAGTTCGATGTATGGCGAAGATAGTCACGTTAGCGATCCCGCAGAGTTCCGTAAATGTATTGGCTTCGGACTGGGGTAAGGGGCACTTAGTCCGCCTTTGGCCGTGCCTCTTCTTCCCTCTATCTCTTTTAGAGTCCAAGCGGTCGATCGTTACAGCCCGCCAGTGGCTTGCTGTTTCCAGTAAACGTTTTGGGATAGTTGTCAGCGTAAGCGGAACGTCAGAAAAGTCTCGCAGTAGAACTAGCATACTCTGAAACCGTAGGACAATACGGCCAGCTCTGGACAAAATGAAGTGCCAAGAGATGAACTAATGAATTAGATGAGGACGAAAACAGACATCGAGGCGACGGGTCAGCTACGGCGCCCGACAAACCACGGGAGGCTGTAAGCCTTGACAACTTTGCCATTATTCGAAGTAGACTCCACGACCTCAGCCTTTATACTCAGTGCTTCGCTTCACAACTGTTTTTGTTATTCGCCGTTAGCGCTGTATAATTTTCTCTGTGCTGTTAGTATACCAATAAGACAACTACTTGGTAGTTGTCTTATTAGATGCATTAGCATTTTTCTTTGAAGTTCGTTTGAGGAAGGAGTGGAGGCCAGCTTGCAAATTACTAATGCTAAATGCAAGTTCCTCTCGAAAGGCTTCAGGCTAGCAGATCGTTCAAGGGTGGAACCGAGTCGCTTTTTTAGATGCTGCTATTGCAAATGGAAGTGCTGACATCGTTGTTGTTAACCGAGATAAAGTTTTGCGTTGTCTCGGCTGCCCTCTCAAAGTCTCTCTGACAGACACGCGAGTGATGAAGTTTTTTTTTGCTACATTTTATAATAGTGCTTTTACGTTTTCTTTCTATTGGAAAAAAATAACAGGCATCCTCCATACGTACAAACTTATATCAACCAGAGATTCACACTAATATCGTCCGTTGTTTGTGCGCAGCTCTTCACAAAACACAGAAAACCAAAGCAAGCACCAGGTTAGGCAGTTTCAAAATACATTTTAAGTAAATGAACATGAAATAGCGGCACTGGCAGAAAAAATATGGCTTCGCTATGATGGTTTTCTGGTTGGGCCACCAGTTTGTATCAAGCGTTTGCCTACCGCAGGGTATTCCATAATACAAAGCTATATCGTAAACACCGCCTTGATTCGTACACTGACGCGCCTTTACGTTTAAGGCGAACACAAACACCGACTCTATAGTAAGTTATCTATGCCGCTTAAGTAAACGAACGCTTACACCGAACGAACCACTCAAGAGAAACACGTTAACTTTTCAGAGAAGTCAGGATATAAATTTAACCGATTTAGCGTTTTCTAGTATTGGCCAAAGAAGCCGACGGAACTTGGCTGGATTTTGAAGCTTTGCGCTCAGCGTCCATCCACATAGTTTACATAGTATGGAAGGAATAGGAATGCAGTAGTTGTCAACTTGTTGCGTCTTGGGAAATGCTGCGAGAATGGGCCCGCGCCAAAATACACTGTTCCGAACCCGCTGTAGTCAAGATGTACTCTATCCTACCTCGTAAGAATGTCAGGCCATCACTTATACGAGACGATACTCGACTAACGTCATTATTCTACCAAATATAACTAGTTGTCTATGTAGTAACTACTGTTGTTGATGTTACCGATGTCGTCCGTGTTGCATTCATACAGAAGTTCTCTATACAACAACTATGAGCAGCACAGACATCCTCGTGCCCCTACTACAGTCTAAAGTCCTACTGGAGGCTGCAATATCGATCGGGTTTATCGATAGCCGTGCGTGCATTTTTGTTATTATGCCTCCGTATATGCCCCCCTCTGCGTCAAATCATCCACCTTACAACAGCAATAAAGCGCTGCTATGACTACTGTGGATTGGCAGCTCACTCTGATGCTGTTGTTGCTTTGAAACGAGATGGCAAGGCCAACGTAATTGCCGGCATTCTATTCCGTGAGCGGCGTAACCATCGTTCTTCAGTCTTCGATAGGGATAATAGTTAGTTTACGTAGATACTTACACACATACACACCCACCCATTCACCTCTGAAAAGGTAACTGCAGCAAAATCTGATTCACAATGGGGTTCAGGCTTGTCGTCAACGGGCATGGCCACGTGTTTATAGTTCCATTCATTTGCATGGAAAGTAGTGCCCGGATGTTGCATAGGCGCGTTCATTTTAAACTTAAAATTTATAAAACGACGAGAAATGACCAGGTTCGGAGAACTGATTCGCAGTGTCGGATTATCACTACAGTCATACTTCCTTTGCTACCCCATAATTTTCGTCCTCTGCAAGCTTCACCACATGGGTAACATTATTTACGAACAAGCACAGCTAATCTTAATCTGTTGTGGTTTCCCAGCGAGCAATATACGCTCAAGAATCGGGTGCGTGATTGTTGCGCTTTTCCGAAGTTCAGGCCGAGGTACCGGCTCCGTTTTTGCCCAAACAAGCCTAAACTAACCTTAATAGAATACAACACGGATTAAAATCCGTAGTAGACGCCACAATGTCGTGGCCACCTATGCTGACTGTGGCCTAATTGTCCTGTTGCAAAATCGAATTGTCCGTTTGCACCCTGAGGGGAACTGAGCCGATTCGGGAGGAAACGCTAACACATTGAATATAAAGCTACTCAAAGTACACCAGTAAGCTGTGTTATGCTTTCGACTGACTTCGAACCGTTATCAGAGATTGTTGAACGGCAGTCTATGTAATCTCAGACCCTCTGTTACAAAAGTTGTTATTGTTAATTATAAAAACTATAAAAAGAAGAAGAGTGTATAAGTTTCCTCTAGTGGAGTTATTCAAGGAGTGACCTTTGTGCTCAAGGAGTGACTATTTGAGCCGATTTCCCTGTTTAAAATATGTGAAGTTGAATGTATCGCTGTCAGCAAAGATATCGTTTTCAATATCCTCATTGTGAGTACTGTTTCGGTATTGTCTTCACATTAATATACATTTGCATATTATCGATTAACGATTAAGTAGTCTTCCTTTAAGTATAGGATCTAGTCTAAATTCTGCTTGATCATCCATATTTATGAAGCTAATAAATCACGCTATTTCGTCACCAGCTGCTGAGGTGGCTATAACAACGCTACAATAATATGCCACCGAAAACACGTGTCACAATCAACCAACATGGCGTCATCGAGATAACACGA